GCATCCTCTGCCTCCTGCATCTTACCACCTACTTTTCCTGACCACTCCTGGTACTGTTTGTGTTAGTCCAGATTCACTGAGAAGTAGATGCTATACAGGATTCAACATGTGGTGATTTTGTTAGGGGAATGGGTAAGGGAGCGAGGAAGGTTGAGAGAACCATGAGACTGTGATGCAAATCTGATCCTAAGTGAAGGAGAGAGGGAAGGAAGTGTGTGGAAGCATCCCGTACATGATGCAGTCTAAAGGAGGTTCAGCAAGGCTGTTGAGGAGTCCTTGAACCAAAGATGATCACCAGAGGAGTCCCACTGCCCCCCTGGGGCAGGCCTGCATTAGAACCCCTGCCATGGTCCATCACTGGGTGCAGCCCACATGTACTGAGTGCAACCCATATGTAGTGTTGCCTTAGAGCAAATGCTTTTGGGTTTTATAATGCAGCAGCTGGGCCCTTGGTCAAATAAGCTCCCAATGACTGGAGGTCTGCAAGGAGCATTCTCATGGCCACTAGAGGATTAACTCACTTTTCTTCAGGAGAACCCTATAAGTTAGGTACTCTAAATATTACCTTCTCATACATGAGAAACTTTGTCTAAGGCTACATAGCTGGGAAGTGGCAAAGCCATCATTATTTTCTAGAACTGACTGAATTGAAAACTTTATTCTCAACCCTTCTTCCAGTTTCCCCTCTACTGCCCATGTTGATGGCTGCTTCCTCTTTGGGGCATCTCACCATTGCCACTGCTATCTGTACCCCAATGATGGTGCTGTTTTCTAGACCCTCTCCTTTGCCTCCTGATGCCCCCAAAGACACAAGCCCCCAGGATCTGGAGGAGCGCTGCGTTCTGGAATCCTCGCTGTACCTGGGCACTGATGGCTTCTGCACAGAAGCTGCCTCTCTTGGGCACCAGGACAGGATGGGTTGTGCCTCTGTATTAGTTATATGTTCCTGCATAACGATTTTATCGCAAATGTAACAGCTTAAAACAACTCACATTTATTCTCTCAAAGTTTCTGTGGGTCAGGAATCTGGCTCAGCTTGGCTGGGCCCTCTGCATCAGAGTCTCACAAGGCTGTAATCAAGGTGTTGGCCGGGGCTACAGTCTCATCCAAGGCTTGACAAGGGAAGGGTGTGCTTCTGAGCTCGTAATTGTTGGCGTCATTTTGTTCCTTGAAGGTTGCTGGACTGAAGGCCCCAGTTTCTTGCTGGCTGTTGGCTGGAGGCTGCTCTCCGTTCTTTGCTGAGTGGTTTTCTCTATAGCGCCACTTACAACATGGCAGTTTGTGTCTTCAAGGGCAGCAGGAAAGAGTCTCCCAGCAAGATGGATTATAATCTTATGTAACATAATCACATACATCCTAAAACCTTTGCCTTATTCTACTGGTTAGAAGCAAGTCAATCCTGCCTACATGCAGGGAAGGGGATCACACAGGCCAAGCACATCGGGAGGTGCAGGTTGTGGAGGCGTGGAGGCCACCCTAGCGTGTGTATATCACAGCTTCCCTGTTCACTAGCATCTCTAATGAAAACAGCTCTTTGAACTGTCCTAAAGCTTAACTCTCCATGAAGTACAAGTCTACACAGAGGCAGCTGGCCCAGGAGATTGCCCCTTGGTAGCTTCTCCAAGCCTCCTTTTCTCCTGTGGTTCAAAAGTTCCTTTCCCTCATTGAGAGTGACTCAAACACATGAGATGCTGAGAGCACCCCACCAGTGTATCACACATTGATGGTAAACCATCCAAACTCTAGTGGATGCAGCTGAGATCCTCTCCATATCCTGTTACATGGTGTTTGAGCATGGGAGTGACATGATTGATCACTTTATGATAACTTTTAAATTTTTTATTTTTGAAGATTTATTTATTTTTAGAGAGAGTGTCGGGGGGGGCAGAGGAAGAAGGAGAGAGAGAGAATCTCAAACAGACTCCCTGCTGATTGTGGAGCCTGATGTGGGGGCTCAATCTCATGACCCTGAGATTATGACCTGAGCTGAAACCAAGAGTTGGTTGCTCAACCGACTAAGCCACCCAGGCACCCCTATGATAACTTTTTAAAACAGCTTTATTAAGATATAATCCATATACTATATAATTCATCCATTAAAAGTGAACAATACAATAACTTTTGGTATATTCACAGAGTTGTGCAACCATCCCCACAATCAATTTTAGAACATTTTCATCATCTTAAAAAGAAACTCCACATGCCTTAGCCATTACCCCCAATTCTTCCTTCCCCCCAGCCCTAGACAGCCACTAATCTACGCTCTGTCTCTATAGATTTGCCTATTCTGGAACATTTCACATAAATGGAATCATATGTGATCTGGCTTCTTTCACTCAACATGTTGTCATGGTTCACCCACGTTGTAGCATGTATCATTACTTCATTTCTTTTTATATTCCATTGTATGGATATGCCCCATTTTATTTATCCATTCATGATTTTATGGACATTATGTTATTTCCACTTCTTGGATATTATGAATAATGCTGTTATGAACATTTATGTACAAGTTTTTGTATGAATGTATGTTTTCATTTGGGTATATATCTGAGAGTGGAATTGCTGGGTCATATGGTATCTCCAAATTTAACCTTTTAAAGTATTGCCAGGCTATTTTCCAAAGTGGCTACACCACTTTACATTCTTACCAGCAGTGTATGAGGATTCCAATTTCTCCACCTCATCAGCTCTTATTATTGCCCATCTTATTTGTTTTAGCCATCCTAATGGATGTGAAGTGGCATCTCATTGGAGTTTTGGTTTGCATTTCCCTGATGGCAGATGATAGTGAGGAATTTTTTGACATGCTCATTAGCCATTTGTATATCTTCTTTGGAGAACTATCTCTTCAGATCCTTTTCTCATTTTAAAATTAGGTTTACAATAACCTTTTGACATATTACAAAAGAATATGTTCATCGAAGAAAACTTAGAAGCCATGTACAAGCATAATAAAAATAATAAATGCCCTTTAGGAAGCATATATTGCAAACACTGTTCTAAACTCCTTCCATGCTTGCCCTATACCACAGAGGTAGAAATAACAATAGCTAATGTTTACTGAGCTCCTCTTAGGTACCAGGCTCTCTTCCACATAGCATCTCATTTAATCCTCCCAATGGCCTTTCCGATTTTCACCACACTCAGTTTTCAACAAAGAAACTGAGTCACAAGGACATTAAGTAATTTGCCTACCTGCACACAGCTAGCTGGTGGCAGAACCAGAGTTTGGACTCAGGCAGTCTGTCTCTCCAGCTTTTGCACTCAACCACAACCCTGTGCATTTCTGAATCCAGAGGCTTTGAGCAGAACCATTGCAGTACATTGTTTTTTTGCTCTCCTGAAGTAAAATAAAGTATCTCCTTTAATGATTATTATTTTCTTGATGCAAAATGGCAGAAATTTCCCTCAGAGTCCCCTGAAGGCTTAGAAATTGTTTAATTTCCACTGACTTTTCTTTCTTTTTGATTGTTTCTTTTTTTCCCTCCATAAGCTTTGGGAAACAGGAACCAAGTCCTTCCATACTCTGATGTTAATTCCAAACTGGAAATTGCCAAAATGACGTTCTCCATGTCTACCTGCCCAAGAATCAATCAGAATAAGGGAGGATGTAGGCGCTCCCTACTGTGCTTCTGGACTTCCAGGGTTTCACAGATCTGGCTTCGACTGTTTGCAACGTCTTACCTCTGTGACTGTAATCACGTAACTTAACCTCATCGTGCCTGGAGGAGTAAAGGATGTGGGAGCAGGGAGACAAGAGACAGGCTCATTTCCCCGCTTTGCACTTGTGTGGTTTTGGGTAAGTCCCTTCACCTCGTGGGGCCTAATTTTGCCCAGCTGTAAATGGCTAGGACCCCAGGCGCTCTGAGGTGTCTTCTGGCTCTGACGTTCTGTGTTCTGTGCCTACCTCTGGGTTGTAAAGAATGAACATTAAGGTGATGTCTCTCACAAAACCATTTTTTGTTCAAAACGGTGACTCCTAGGTAGGGATTTCAAGGGGAAATTGTACGAGGCCTGGAAGGATGTACGGGGAATAAGATGCACTGCTATTTCTAGGAAGGAGATGGGCGTGGCGGGGCTCTGAGAGGGGTGTGCGGACCGCAGAGCATCCTTACAGACTGAGAGGGCGTCCGCAGGTCAGAGCAGAGGCCGAGGCCAGCGAGGACCGAAGCTGCAGCGGCTGCGCACTGGCGCGCCCAGCCGGCCGATTTGCGTGTCTCCGCCTCTGCGACGAGCTGGTTGGGTGGACTGGTCTGGCGCCGCGCGCGGATTGGCTGCGCGGCCCGCCGCTCAGGCCCAGGAGCGGACGGTTCCTACTGCGGCTGGGCACCGGCTCCGCTCCCGCGTCGGCCCGCGCTCCAGCTGCGCCCGGCCCGGCCCCGGCCCGGCTCGGCCCGGCCCCGGCCTCCGAGCGAAGGCGCCGCTGCCGCCTGGGCCGCTCCCAGGGCCATGAGGAGGCGGCGGCAGCCACTGCGGCCCGCGTCAAGGTGACCGGCCGGGACTGCGGCGGCAGCGGCGAGAGCGGGCGGTGAGAAGAGCGGCCCGCGGGGCGGGGCGGGGCGGGGCTCTGAGGGCCGGGCCGCAGGGAGCTGCAGGTGCGGGGGGCGGGACCCGGAGGGGCCGCTGGGCCGAGGAGGGGCCTGGGGTGGTGTCGGGCGGGTTCAGGGTCGCGGGGGGCCGGGCCGGGGGGGGCGGTCTTAGGTGGGCTGGTCTGGTGAGGGGTTGGTAGGAAGGGCAGCGGGTGTGGGGGTGTAGGTGGGGACAGGCCGCAGGTGTGGGGGCGGGGCTGGTGGAGGCAGTTGGGCGGGGCAGAGGGGGCAGCAGGTGTGGGGGCGGGGCCAGGTGGGACCACAGATTTGGCAGTGGGAAGGGGCTGCGAGGTGAGGCCGGAGCTGCTGGAGATCCCGGGTCTGAGGAAACCACAGGTGCAAAGGGCGGGGCCAGGGAGACCTGCAGGGGCGGGGGGCGGGGCCCCGAGTGGTTGCAGGTCCGGAAGCGGTGCCCCAGGTGAGGAGCGGGCCGAGGGCGAGTGGTCCCTGGAGAAGGGAGTGCAGCCCTCTCCGTTGTCCAGGGGGGTTTGGGGTGGGCGCAGGAGCTTTGAGCTCTCTGAAGATTCTGGAGGCTTCGAGGGTTGCTGCTGGGCCAGAGGGGCCGGCCAGGCCTGCCTTTGCCTCTCCTGGCTGACTTGGGTCTCTGCCGCCCGGTTATTAGGCTGGCGGTTTCTCCTATGCCACGCTGTGCCTTAAGTGGGGCGCGTCGTTTTTCGTGTCTCTGGGGCTTTCCCTGTTGTTGGGGGCATGCCTCGATTGGGGTCGGCGGTTGGCATTCATTGGATGATTAGAAATGTGGTTGAGAAATGTTGCTTGCTGGAAGAGTAGTTAGTGTGAAGCTTGAAGGGTCCTGGTACCAGATGCTGCTGCCGATCTTAGTAATGGCAGTTCCCAAAAGACTGACATGGCAGCCTGGCGAGGGAGAAGAACAGAAATGAGGGTTCAGAAGCTTTTGCCTCTGTGTAACCCCCGGAGAGTCTTTCACTTCTTCGAGCTTTGTGTCTTCCTTCGCAAAACGAGCATCTGAGCATCGAGCATCGTGCTACGTGCCTTGTGTGCCTCCCTGGGGCTTTGTGAGGATAGGATGGAAAAATGCTTACTGAGCAAATCGTGGGGTAAAGTAATGACTCTCCTTCCTCTTTGCCAATGGGGAGGTTGGATTCAGGGACTGGGGGTTTAAAGGGGAGGTTGGATTCAGGGTATTTCTAATTAGCAGACCATTTTCTTATTTGAGTTTGGGATGAGGTTTGTGGCAGAGAGTCCCCAAAAGACAGTCTCGGATCTGCCTTGGATCATGACCTCTGAGGGAGATGTGGCAGGGAGCAATGGCAGGTGGAAAGTGAGGAACATTTAATTGTTTGCTGACCTTTAGACCCCAACCCCATTGAGGACTCTGAGCTGGATCATGAGGCTTAGGCTCGAGCCTTACGGAATTTCCCATCCCCGTCCAAGTAGGAACTCTGATTTTACCACATTCCAGAAAGAAGACCCTAAAAAGAGGGGAATGTGAGAATTCATTAGCTTCCTACAGGAGCAGAGAGAAGAAATCAAGCTGAGAGGACTCTCCTATCCAGAAGATGTCCTATACCCATGTGTGTGACCTTTTGGCACACAGTACCTCTCTTCACTAGCAGTTTGACCATTCCAAACTGTCATTTCTCCTACCTGCATTGCATGGACAGAGAGAAGGCAGGAGGAAGCTTCTCTTACACTGGCCTGCATTTTTCTTTACTTTAGAAGTTATGCAACTTTTGGAGGCGAACCACCATGGTGCTGGCCACTCAGCTGGTGTGGCAGTGACCCAGTGGCATCATGGGATCTCAGGGATGGGTCCTTACTGGGGCCTGTGTTTATATGGCAGGCACCCAGAGGGTCTAGAAGCAACATGTGTGATGTCCCTTTCTGTCCTAGCAGAAACTGTGTAAATGGTTCTCAGAGATTGCTGCCCTCTGGGTTACCATCTGTGGGTTAAAAGGAAAGCCCAAACTTGGTGGTGCACAAAAGTTAGAACATGCATTGAATAACGAGGGGATTGGCTTTTTGATTGTTATTATTGGAGTGACAACACCCAGGGTTGAGAGAGAAACTTCATTAACGGAAAATGTTAAAACCGAGGCTTTCTGTGATATGGCCCCAGTTTACGTTTTTATTTTTTAAAGATTTATTATTTATTTATTTATTTTAGAGAGAGAGAGCGTGCGAGTGGGGGGAGGGGCAGAGGGAGAGAGAGAATCTCAAGCAGACTCCACGCTGAGCACGGAGCCTGAGATGGGGCTCAATCTCAGGACACTGAGATCATGGCCTGAGCTGAAATCAAGAGTCAGACACTTAACCGACTGAGCCACCCAGGTGTGTCCCCCCCCCCCCCCCCGCCAGTCTACCTTTTTAAATTGATCTTCCTCTTCAGTATGGAGGGTGAAGGCTCTGGCTTGGAAGTCAGACAGGTCTATGTTGGAAGCCTTATGCACTAGTTTCTCAGCTTCTCAGAGCTTTGTTTTCCTTATTTGTGAAACAAGGATAATCATAACCTTGAGAGGTTATGAAGAATAAATGACACAGGGTATGTGAAAGCCCTTGATATATCAGGCACTCAATGTTAGGGTCCCTTTTTCCCCTCCCTGCCTGCTCATCTTTCAACACAACAGAACAGCATGAAGCATGTAGGGAGAGCAGGACTGGTAATTCTGAGGCCTTCACTTCTTATGTAACCTTGAACAGATCCCTTCCCCAGATCTCCATTTTCTTGGTTGAATGAGGATGATGTTAGACTGTGAACATCAAGGGTGGTCCTTGCTCTGGCATTCTTTCATTAGCTTGCTGTCCCTATTTTCCTGAAAGGCAGGAAGGAAGAAAATAATGACCTGTTCTTTTTAAAAAAAAAAAAAATCTGTCTAGCACTTTGCCTAGCACACAGTAGGTGCTCATTAAATACTTGTTGAAGGAACAGATGAAGGAGTTTAGGAAGAAGGTGTGGCAAATTGTCCCTGCTGCTTATATGTATGTTGTATCTGTCTCCAAAATTCTGTTGATTTAGTTGCAAAAACATATTGCAACATTAGTGAAATTGGTGAACCTCAGCATGGAAGACAAAAACTGTTTCACGGTCCTGATTTACCACAGATTAAGTTCATCCAGTTTTTGTTCATAAGCTTTTTCATGGTTGCAGTTATATGTATGTGAGCATTTGGGAGCGGCCTGGCAAAAAGTGGCATCTTTAAATGGTGTTTTTAATCTTATTTTTTCAAGAAGTTAAAAAAAAAATCACACATGGATTCTCTTTTTAAAGGCAAGTAATTCAGAGGGGAACAAATTGTAAAAAGCGTCTTTCTTGCCTCAAGCTGCCAGTCCTTCTCCCTAGGGGCAACCACTATTACCATTTTCCTGTTTATTATATATTCTTTTTCTTACACAAAGAATAGTGTCTGTACATACTCTTTCTCCTTCCTCTATTCACTTGATCTGTTTTGGAAATTGTTTCAACATTGGAAAATGTTCCAATTAGTACATACAGTTCCTACTTAATAAATGTTTTTGACTGATGTTGTAGGAAGTTTTGTCCATGCCCTCCCCCCCCCATGATGTTTACTCAGTAATGGTTAGCAGTAATTGTTGAGAAGAGTAGTAAGGGACATCCCTTGTTCTTTTCTGGGAAACAAATGGCTTTGGTCCCATTGAACAATAGATTACAGGCAATCCACGTATCTGGATGCAAGGCAGACAACAGAAAGAGAAAGGAAAAGAGATTTTTTTTACTAGTAATTGAAAACTGATTTTCCATTCAGCCCTTGATTCAAAGTTCAGCTGTTCCTTACTGGCTGTATGACTTTAGATGATCTACCTAGTCTTTCTGAGTTTCACTTTCCTTATCTGTAAAATGGATGATGTTAATAAAATCTGCCTTTTGGGGGTTTTGTGTGGAGGAAATGAGAGCATGCATACCAAGTACTTGCGGCGATACCAGGTGGTAGTAGATGCTCAAGAAGAGGTATCTGCCATGTTATTAATAACCTGGCGGAAACTCTTTTATTCTTTGTCAGCAGGTATTTACTGGGCAGTTGAAGGTGAGCCATTGACAATGCCCAAAGTCCTTGCCCTTGAGATGCCCGCATACTGCGCAGGAAGACAGGCACACAAGCCACTGGTTGTAGAACAGTATGGTGGGCCCGATGTTGGGGTGGTGCCATATGGGGGTCATGGAGGCAGGAAACAATGACTTCTCCTTGGGTGATTTGGGAATGGCTTCCCAGCTCAAATAGCCCCTCCTTTGTGAAACCTACTCTGTTCTTTTAGGCACAAGTGACCACTCCTATTTGTGTTCCCTTGACTTTCATTGTGTGCCTGCCTTGATCAGAGTATGCATTGTGTTATGGCATGCATTACTTTATGTCTGTGGCTCCTCCCTGCACAGGGGAACGCTCCTACTTTCTTTGCTGCTAAGACTTCAGGGTAGGTTCTTTTTGGCCATTGTGATGGACCTCCCGTCCATCATAGCTACCGAATGTTGGCAAGCTCTTATTGATAAGCCATCCGGTCGCTGGAGAAACCCAGTCTCTGGGCTCTATTCCTTCACTTTCTAAGTATTTGAGTGCTGACTCTGAGACAGGCATGTGTTGTGCCGTATACTAGCTATAGGCTTTGGGTATGGCTGGTCATACTTGTCCAAAAAGTCTTGGAGATGGGAGAGGAAAGAAATATTTCCCCAGATGCTCCAGGTCAAGAGGGGGAAGCAGAAAAAAGCACAACTCTAAAAATGAACTGCTTATACGTGCTGAAGCCCACCTTGCCTTTCCTCTGAAGTGTGGCTGCTCATCCTTCCCTTGGAGTGGGGTTGTGGAGGAGCATGCTCAAGGGAACTGAGTAGGTGGTCTGTGGATTTTGACCAGGGGTAGTGGGCAGTTGGTTGAGTTGGGTTCTGTGAGGGGCTTCCTGGGGCATTTTTCGGGCCACTTTCTTAAAAGGAGAGGGGGTTTTACTTCCTTTATGTGGGCATTAATTCACCAGCCTTGCTGGGTTCCCTGCTTTTGGCTAAACCCTTTGCTGGATGCTGGGCATATGGAGATGAAGGAGTTCTGTCCCTGTCTTTGAGGAGCTCATGGTTGGTGGAAGAACCACATGCAACCAGAAGGTGACTGGAAGGCGATTGACTATGACAGAAGACCTTGAATGAAGTGGCCAAGCAGATTCATGCTCTGGAGCCAGGCAGACCTGGGTTCAGATTCTGGTTCTTCCGTACTCAAGGCCTTGGGCAAGTGTCTCCCTCTCTGTGAATCTTGGTTTACTGGTTTGTTACATGGGGCTTAGCAGTGTTGCCTAACTTAGGACTCTTGCTGAAGATTCAGTGAAGTGGTGCAGTGGAATGTTTAGCATGGTGCCTGACAGAAAACTGATTCTTACAGACTGCTCACATGTTATCCATGGTTCTTAGGGAGCACTGAGAAGCACCTCTTTGGCTGTTTTCTCTGGGTTCTAGTGTAG